CGCATTCAAATATAGGATCATCTTTGATCCCCTTGCATTGACAGGGATATGTCATGAGTGATAGTTCATATATTTAGTCATTTGTAAACTGCAGCCCTTGGTCAGTTAAGAGTAGATGATAGCAATATAGCTGAGTTCAGATATATTGTAATATCTACAGCTACATATCATCCTCCTGTGTTTGTGTTTGCTACTGCAGCTGCTGTCGGCAGCAGCTGTAGTTTGAAAACCAATTGTTTACTTCTTCAGTATATTCTCACTGTGTACTGGCCAATTGATTTTTTAAAATTAGGTTGTTGCATGTTTGTAAACTTTCCTGATTGGAATTTCCTGAATATATTTTTGGAAGAAATACTAAAATCTCAGCGTTTTAGAAACTAGATTAGTATTTAAATTCTTTAAATTTATTGTTTTATTTTTAGAGAGAGGGAGAAACATCAATTTGTTGTTCCAACCATTCATACATTAATCACTTGATTCTTGTGCCCTGACCAGGGATCAATCTTACAACCCTGGCACATCGGGGGTGACACTAACCAATGGAGCTAGCTTCTCAGAGTTTTCGATGTACAGCCAGGGATAGACTCCATTGGTTAGAATTTTTATTCGTAGGCTAGAACTGGAAATTCACGTATTAATTGGCCATCATTGTAGTTAATACTGGACAAATTTTTCCTCTCAAGTTTTTTCTTCCACTGTATATGCTATTAAACCGGATCTATTAAAATGTTTTAATTACCTCATTCATTTGGAAATCTTGAAAAAGTAAATATTTGAAAATGAAATGAATCAAAGGAAATGAAAAGATGCCTTTTTTCGTAAAACTTGGAATTTATTGTTAGTTTTTATGGCATTCATTCAACTCTAAATTATTTAATTTCTTGTTTTTCATTAAGTACATTATATTTGTATTGTTATTTATTAAGTATATAGTTTCAGGTGTACAACATAGTGTTTCAAAATTTATATACATTTATATACCTTACCATGTGATCACCACTTTGAGTATATTAATCATCTGTGCAGTTACCACAATATTAATATTAATAGCGTTCCCCTTCACCTTTTTTATCCATACCCCCAACATTCTACCCTCTAACAACTAAGAGATTGTTCATTTTTAAACATGAATCTGCTTTTATTTTATCTTTGGGATTTTTTAAATTTCAAAAATACCTGAAATCATACTGTATATTGTCACAAATGGCAAGTTTCTTT